GATAAATGCTCATGATGTCAGTCATTGGTTTGTCCAGTCTAGAGGTTATAATGAAAAAACAAGTTCTGTCCATCTTCCTGAGTCTATGCATAGTCCAATCAAATTCGCGCACTGAAATCAAAATCCGGTTCATAAACTGTCGTGCAGATTTCGGTCGATTGCAGGATTTGCAAAACATGTGCATTGCCAACTCGTTGTCAGCAGATATTTTCCAAATCTTTCCATGTTTTTAATCAAGGTGCTCATGTGATTTGATGCATTTCGCGATGTAAGACCCGTTTTATCACAATATAGATCTTAATTATCTATCAAACGCAAGTGATACGAGAGGTGGAATCTGATTGGTCCATAGGAGAGGCTTAGAAGGGACATGACTGGTAATAGCCACTGGTGGCGCTACGATCGAGCCCAGTAATTCCAGCCTAGTTCGGCAAGGGTGGAAACTGGACTTTTAAAGTCGGTTAACTCTCTTGCCTCGGGAAGATTGTTCCGTCCAACTCAATGGACAGTGTCCGTGGTTGGTTTATAAGAAGGGTCGTGTTCTTCCAGGTCTTCATCAAGAAGCTGAAGTCTCTCAAGGACAGCTTGAAAGACGTGGTCCGTCGTGTGTTTGAGCTGGAGGAGAGACCCAAGGCTCTAGAAGCTCTCAAGTCCATGTTGAACCACTCCTTTCACTTCCTCAAGTCTGTGAAGAACCTGACGACCACCGACGACCCCATCTTCACCGAGGTGGAGGTCACGACATTGGAAACACTCATCAATGAGACCTCGGTAGGTTTTCCTGCAGTCTGTTCACATCACCCAGATAAATTTCTGAGCCATTGAATATTTACTCACATGTTATCAAGCACATTGGGTAATTACAGGTTTTGGGGTGTATTCAATGTTTATGCATCTTGGATCGAGTCTAGTAAGTATTTATAAACCAATAAGAACCAAATTTTAAAATACTTTTGTTGAAAATTCTATTTTAGGTGACAATATTCACACTACTTTGGTTCTATGTTTGGTTTGGTTTTTAGCCCCCAGGGGGATAGAATAAGCATGTCCATCCATCTGTCAGTTGTTTTCTGTTTCCGGAGTGGAATCCAAAACCGTTTGATAGTTCTTGTGTAAACTTCCTGTGTCGATGAGACTAGTAGGGAACTGGGAGAGGTATATAATGCGGGGGGATATAGCGATCAGCCAGTCTGTCTGTCCGTCCGTAATCATTTCCTTTTCCGGGGCAGAATTCGAAAACCATTCAGTGTATTTGATCGAAACTTGGCAAATCTATCAGGCACAAACTGAAGTGGTGCCTTTTGATATTTTGGGATTTATCTAATTTTTATTTTTTTAAATTTTTATGGAATGAAGTTGGACATAGACTCAATTGGGGATAGGGTTCGTTTCCGGGGCAGAATTCGAAAACCATTCAGTGTATTTGATCGAAACTTGGCAAAGCTATCAGGCTCATACCGAAGTGGTGCCTTTTGATATTTTCTTTTTTACGAATTTTTATTTTTTACAATTTTTATGGAAAGAAGTTGGACCTAGACTCCATTGGGGAACTGGTTCGTTTCCGGGCCAGAATTCGAAAACCCTTCAGTGGGTAAACAATGTATGCTTCTTAAAGAACATTCAACTGTTGACTCATTACATACAGAATTGCACATTTACTAGTGGTTACTTTACAGACAGCTGCCGGGGGGATATGTCATCTTTCTGATGACTCTTGTTTAAAATTATTTTTTGGATTTTTAATGAAAATGAGGGTAATGCTTAGTTCAGGAGATGAACTCCAAAACTGTTGTATATTTCTGGATGAAACTTGCTATACTGATCAGTCTCGTGGTGAACTGGTGCCTTTTGATGATTTTGGCTTCCTTTTTGGCTTTATATTGTTTGTTTTCATGACGACAAGTTGGACTTTACTGAAAATGAGGGAAGTGCCTTTATCCCGAACAGAACTCCAAAACCTCCAAAACTAAAAGAAATACTGAACAGTGTAGTTTCCAGCAATTGTACATCAGTCAAAATAGCCTTGCTTCGATCGTATAGGCAAGGGTTAGTGACCCACGGCACTTGTCACAAGAAATGTCTCTTCTTATGGGCTACTTGTAAGTCCGTGACCCGGACCCTTGCGCTTGTACCATGATCTTAGAAAACTTCTCTGACACTGCTTACTGATGAAACTGAAGGGGCGGGGGGTGGCCTAGTGGTTAAAGCGTTCGCTCGTCACGCCGAAGACCCGGGTTCGATTCCCGACATGGGTACAATGTGTGAAGCCCATTTCTGGTGTCCCCCGCCGTGATATTGCTGGAATATTGCGAAAAGCGGCGTAAAACCATACTCACTCACTCACTCCTGTTGGTTATCATCGTCCACAATGTGCTGATTACCGTATTGTGTGTTAAAGGGTTAGAGGACCTCGATGTGATATTCTGAGGCTTGTGAGATGTGGGGCGTGGGGAGTTCAGGTTGTTTTTTAGCTGTCCAGTGAACCACATTTATTTTCTACAACCTGAGGACACGTGTACAATCAATCATGGTGACTTTTCTTCCTTTTTTTCTTGGTTGTTCAAGCTAACAAAATTTGTTCCCAATAATTTCAGCAAAATCATGTTCTTAAGTATTGTAGCATTTCACTGCCAAGGTTGTGTCTGAGACGCGGAATAATTAGATTTTTATAAAATAAAAAAAAATGGAAATAAAAACGAAACGTTCTGCGGTGTCTGAGAACCAAGACTGTTATTGGTTTTAGCCTTTTGAAATTGCCAGTCAGTGAGAATGTGATATGCGGTGTAACATCTGATGTGATCTGCAGGAGTGGCGCAGTACCAACCTGAAGGAGCAGAAAAAGTTAAAGGACTACGAGAACCCAAAGATGCTTGTCGAGGACATTGCCCTGAAGATCCAGGCTCTGGACCGCGAGGTCAAGTACCTCATCAACAAGGCCAAGTACTGGAAACCCAAGACGAAGCCCAAGACGGACGACAAGAAGAAGACGAACAGCACAGACAAGGCCACCAATGAGACCAAGTCTGAAGAGTCTAAAACTGAGAAGGCGGAGTCTAAAACTGAGAAGGCGGAGTCTAAAACTGAGAAGGCGGAGTCTAAAACTGAGAAGGCGGAGTCTAAAACTGAGAAGGCGGAGTCTAAAACCGAGGAGGCGGAGTCTAAAACTGGGAAGGCGGAGTCTGAGCCCAAAGTAGATGAAGCCACTACCCAGTCTTCAGAGTCTCAAGGTATTGTAACGTGTTCAACATAATTAAGTTTATTTGGCAACTCGGTAGAGGCAGAGCTCCAGATAATGTTTTGAGCAATTGAGTTTTTACTCTAGGGTTTCTATTTTAATTGGGTTATTACTTTTTTCATTGGGTAACCAATATTTTTTAACTCATCTTTTCATCACTCTATTGGGTATTTCCCCAAAAGATTGAACATTTTAAGATTTAAAAATAAATAAATAATGTTTTAGATGTACATAACCATGACAACTGTTCTAAATATATAGGCTTGACTCGGAAAGTAAACTAGCTCGTAATTGTGTTTTGGAAATTAGCACCTTTGAACACATGCTGAAAAAGCTTCATTGGGTATTTACGCGTTTTGTTTTATACATTTGAGTTTTTCATTTAATGCATGCGTTTCTGTACACAAGTTACTTGAAAGTAATTGGGTTTTGAATATATTTGGAGGGTATTTTGCGCAAATACACAGCTTATCTGTAGTTCTGTAGAAGTAAACAGAGAAAACTGGTCTAATTGAGCAAATACACAGCTTATCTGTAGTTCTGTAGAAGTAAACAGAGAAAACTGGTCTAATTGAGCAAATACACAGCTTATCTGTAGTTCTGTAGAAGTAAACAGAGAAAACTGGTCTAATTGAGCAAATACACAGTTATCTGTAGTTCTGTAGAAGTAAACAGAGAAAACTGGTCTAATTGAGCAAATACACAGCTTATCTGTAGTTCTGTAGAAGTAAACAGAGAAAACTGGTCTAATTGAATCACAATGCTGGTGTAGTACAGAAACAGATGACCATTGTCTTTCTTATTATTGTGGGTTTTGTCCACACAGCCTCAGAGAGGTCAGCCAGAGAAACTATGAGTTGTCTGTTATGTATCAGACCGCCTCCGGATACGCCATACCAGGACATTAAAAGATGGTACTTGTTGTTCCCCTGCCTGGTGCTTGGTTTTAAAGGGCTAAAACAAGGACTGGTTGGCTTAGAGTCAGTATGATGTGTCTGAGTAGGGTATCCATGTTTGTATGGCGTAATCTAATTAAGCCCCTATTTCACCTCACCATTGTTAACCTGACTTTAATTTTCAGAAGAGGCTCCAAAAGAATCAAAATCAGATAAAAGCACCAAAAAAGAAAATAAAAAAGATAAAGAAACAAAAGATACCGAGGAGGAAACTTTACAAATAGGTAAGTGATCCCTCTGAACAGCCGACAGGGGTTTATACATGGCTTAGATGGGATCACGTTGTACTGGACGTTGTAGGGGACTTCATGACAGAACAGGATCGCCTCCGTGGTCTAGTGGTAGAGCGTCCGCCCAGAAAGCAGAAGGTATGGGGTTCGATCCCCGGCCGTGTCATACCAAAGGACCTTAAAAGATGGTACTTTTTGTTACCCTGTCTGGCGCTCGGTGTTAAGGGGCTAAAACAAGGACTGGCCGGTTCGGAGTCAGTATACTGTGTCTGAGTGGGGTATTCATGTTAAACTGCGGCATGGTATCTCAGTGAGCTAGCACTATAAACCGGCATCAGTCCGGACTAGTACAAGCAGTCACACACACGTACATGCACGTCGCTATATAAGTGCAATAATCTTGGATGCGACGTTAAACCCCATTTCACCACCTATGACTCGTCCACAGCACCCCATGCTTGTCTGCCTGTGGGGTCCCAAGACACCTGTGGTTGTCTGAGTAGTGAAGGAGTTGTCAGGCTGACCTGTTGACCTGCACTGATATAGCTAATACTGCTGACTGGCACAAAACAACATTTTCACTCATGAGCTGCAAAGATACAGGTGGAATACTGCTTACCGGCAAAAAACAACATTTTCACTCATGAGCTGCTAAGATATAGCTAATATTGCTCACTGGCACAAAACAACATTTTCGCTCATGAGCTGCTGAGATATAGCTAATATTGCTTACTGGCACAAAACAACATTTTCACTCATGAGCTGCTGAGATACAGCTAATATTGCTCACTGGCACAAAACAACATTTTCACTCATGAGCTGCAAAGATACAGCTAATATTGCTTACTGGCACAAAACAACATTTTCACTCATGAGCTGCTGAGATACAGCTAATATTGCTTACTGGCACAAAACAATATTTTCACTCATGAGCTGCTGAGATACAGCTAATATTTCTTACTGGCACAAAACAACATTTTCACTCATGAGCTGCTGAGATACAGCTAATATTTCTTACTGGCACAAAACAATATTTTCACTCATGAGCTGCTGAGATACAGCTAATATTTCTTACTGGCACAAAACAACATTTTCACTCATGAGCTGCTGAGATACAGCTAATATTGCTTACTGGCACAAAACAACATTTTCACTCATGAGCTGCTGAGATACAGCTAATATTGCTTACTGGCACAAAACAATATTTTCACTCATGAGCTGCCAAGATACAGCTGGAATACTGCTTACTGGCAAAAACAACATAATTGTTACGAATATCCTACCTCTATTACATCATAGCGATCATTCACTCACTGACTATAAACTCTATTGTCTGTTTCTTTCTTTGCAGGTGGTTCTGAGCGTATAAAAGAAGAGCATACAGAGTTATAACCCTAGGTCAGCCAATAGGGAATTTGACCACTCTGTATCACCATTGTTCTCATGCGATTAGGTGTCTATTTTTGATGCTGGTTTGAAAGTTACGAGATGTGTGACTGGCAGTTACCGTGGTGACTGTGTTGAACGAGGAAGTGAATGTTAATCTGTATTTTCAGAATGATACCTACAAGAGGAATCATGTGCATGCTGAATTTTCTAAGAAATTCATTGTGTCTGAATCTGTACTTATTTATTGTCTTTGTTTTTGAAGTTTCAACATGTTCAAGAAAATCATTGTTTGAGTTCTAGTGAAGCAGTGTGTGAAACATCATCATGTGGCGTTGAAAGGTATTGGTTTGTTCGAAGCCGGGACTCCCCCAAAATTGTAGTTGCTGCAGTGTTATGTAATATTGAACTTTTTTTTATTATTTTCTAAATTTACAAACAGAAAAACAAAGACTTCAGTGTTACAGAAGCGTTAATGTCACGATGACCAAACTTTATAGAATCAGTCCGAACTCCCTCTCAAAAGTGCTTAAGATCTTTCTGGAATGATGGAATATGTTTTGGAACTTTACGTGGGAAAAAAAGTTTTAGCAAAGAATAATTATAAGATTTAATGGGTCGTTTACTTTTGAATTGGGAGCCAAGCAAAACATGTTATTTGGTGACTTTGATTTGAGTGCTGGTATTGAGCCAAAGTTTTGTTCAAAGGAAAATAATTTGTGGTGAATGGCGACACCAATGGAAGTCTGCGACTTTAGCCACTAGTCCAAAGCCTGAGCCTAATAAAATTCTGTTTGGTCTAGTAAGCTCCCATGGTGACACTAAGATGTACCAAGTATGACCCTGAGAGCCAAGTTTGGACTAGTAGACTCAAGTTTGGGCTAGTAGACTCAAGTTTTGGGCAGAGTAGGCAGCTAGGCACGGTAAGCAAGCCAGTGAGTTTCCCTGGTCTAGAATCAATCAGTTACAGACTCCTGTCAGGGATTTGTCTGAGCCTGCTCAGAGGCTGATACTGTTAATCGTGAAATTAATGCGTCTCCAAAAGAATGCGACCACTGGACCCTAGCCAAAAATGCGACTCTATGAATGCGACACCCCCTCCTCTCAAGCATCAGTGGATTTCTATCTGAAGATGTCCTCAGTCAGGTTTAGAATCCTCACCTTAAGCCAACCTTACATTAATCCAATCACACACCAAATAGCACTGCTTATTAGCGCTGAGTAAAGACAATACATGGCGTCTGTCTGGACTTGCAGGTGTGATCAGTGATGACATAAGTGAGTAGAACTCTTGTCTTGACCCCAGCAGTGACAATTCACAGGACGTAATTAGTGTTTGAATGACATTGTTTATATACTTTATATACAAGTGCTGCTCAATAAACAGTGGTGTGGAATACATCAGCGTATGTCTAAGTTGGTATTTTTGCAATCCAAAATGTCTTATTGAGGTAAATGCGATGTTTAAAAATGCGAGCAAAGACCACTCGCATTTTTCGCAATTAATTCAAGCTCGCATTAATTTCAAGATTTACAGTATTCCGCCCAAGTCTGATGCAGGTGTGATCACTAATGTCCTGACTACAGGCACTAGCAGGCTTCCTGGACCATTGCTGACTCTGCAATCTCATTAAATCAGATGTTATACTCCCATACCCCTCTTGCGACAAGCATGGTCGCCTTTTACGACAAGCATGGGTTGCTGAAGACCTATTTTACCCCGGATCTTCTCAGGTAGGTTATACATGGCTTAGATGGGATCACGTTGTAGGGGACTCTGTGACAGAACAGGTCCACAGCACCCCTTGATTGTCTGCCTGTGGGGTCCCAAGAAGCCTGTGACTCTGCAGTCTCCTTAAATCAGATGTTATACTCCGATATCCCTCCGCATAAAGATCTGAGACCACCTCCTCAAGGCCCTATGAATTAATCCCGAGAGAACTTTAACCACCATATCTGAATGAAGGCCTGTGTCGGCTTTCCAACATGAATAGGCTTCATTTGTTCGTCTTCAGAAATTTTGTTTTCATCATTAGACAAAAAACACACATGGTAATTTCATTTTGGTGTGGATTCTATGGCACCAAAAATATTCACAACATGGAGGCAGCCTTTATTGGTTACAAGTCAATTCATTCTTTCCGTAGAAGGCGACGATGCTTGTTGTAAGAGGCGACTAACTGGATCGGGTGGTCAGGCTCGCTGACTTGATGCATGTCATTGATCCCAATTGCGTGGATGGATGCACATGATGTCAATCACTGGATTGTCTGGTCCGGACTCGATGATTTACAGCTGGAATATTGCTGAGTGCAGCGTTAAATAACAAACAAACAAAACAAGACAATTATGTTCGTTTTCAAGATACAGAAATCAAATATGCTGGTCCAAATGCTTCACTCACTCATTCATACCAAGAAACTTGACACCGATTGGTTGATTAGAAAGTGTACCTGGCGTGCCCTCGCATCCCTAGCAGAGGGGTGGGAGTAAAAGATTGAAGAGATCACTATTGGTCTGAATGCAATGACTGATATTTGTCAAACCCTGGTGTATTAATGCAATGACTGAAATTTGTCAAACCCTGGTGTATTAATGAAGAGATTGTTGAGCTATTATGGGATGGCCATACGTTTCATTATAGTTTTAGTAGGCCATAAAAATAACCAGCTCAATTGTCCTTTTGACCTCATGGAAAACTAAGTTTAGTATTCACGGCAATTGTTTGTTCCTCTTAAGGTTAATATTTCTTTCTAATATTTCAAAGCGGTCGAGGAAATAAGTCTGTTTGTTAACTTGTTTTATTTAATGTTTGTGGCTGAGGTGGAGTCTGGAAACTTGAGAAATGTGAGCTGCCTTTGTAAATGTGGGATGAATGGTGAATTATACGAATATTGAAGAATCTTACAGATGAATGCCATTAGTTGTTTTAGAGACATGTCTCTAACATCTTGTACAGTTTAAACTCTCAATGTCTTATTTTTGGAATTTGCGTTACTTTAAGCCATTTCTGTAAATGTGTACAAAAATATTACGTTCTTGTCCGTCGCCCACCAATTTTCTTGACATGCCAAATTATTTCTCTCTTTATTTAAAGTTCTTGGTATCAGAATTGCCAACCCAACTTTTAGGCTCTCCTAATTTAGTTACATTGATTAGTCCTACATTAGTCTTTTGGAAAATAGCCTTACATTCTCGTACGAATGCAATGTAAATTCTGCAAATATTTGTTTGATGTAGATGTACAATTTTAAGATGAAACCTTGTTTGTTGATATGCTCGACTCATGGTCCTGATGCGGTATGTATTCATCATGTTTCATCATGTTCTGCATCAGCAAAGTTCAGTGCATGTGTACTCATTGGTACACTGGCTGAAAAGCTTCATCGACATACCCAGCTTTTGTCGACATACCCAGCTTTCATCGACATACCCAGCTTTGTAACAGAACGTGAACATGTGTTCTGCAGAACGACAATACTCAGGCAACACTTGCCATGAGGCCCCACGATCTGGTGATCAGGGCCCCGTTCCACAAAGCGATCGTAGTGCTACGATTGTCATAAGTGTATGTTAAAGAATGTGAGTTACGATTGTCTTAGTACTACCATAGCTTTGTGGAACGGGGCCCCAATCAAGGGTTCTAAGCCAAGATTTACTCTGCATACAACACAAATACCGCCAAGTGTTAAAGTGGTCAAGGAAAGTCCATACCTATGGTCCTTGCCAGTGTGTACAGTAGTCAAGGTATGATAAGACGTCTAGACTTTTGTCATTTTAAGGGGTTTGCTATATGTTTTCTATGGCTGCATATTTGGCTCGCAATGCCATTTAGAAAGTGGTCATATGTAACAAATGTTATATTTGGGATAACACTTTCTTAGTAAAGTAGAGATTCTTGTACTTTTTGGGGGTTGAGTCCCATCCGGGATTCGAACCCACACTGCCAGTGTGAGGCACCAAATCGCCAGCACACAAAGTCAGCGATCTAACCCACTCAGCCACCGAGGCTTCCACAAAAATGAAAGTCCGACAACTGGTAGTCTAGATCATGTACTTTGTGTACCCCTCTGACAAGTGTAAACTGGCACGGCTCCCATGGCTGAAAGCTATGAATTCACAATGCCATTTAGAAATGGTAAGATCGCTGACTATGTGTGCTGGTGATTGGGTGCCTCACTCTGGCAGTGTGGGTTCCAATCCCGGACGGGACTCAACCCAAAAAAGTACAAGAATCTGTACTTTACTAAGAAAGTGTTATCCCAAATATAACATTAGTTACATATTGGGCATTCGAGGGTTACTTGAGCAGAAGTCTGGTTTTGATGAAAAGTAGGTGACCAGGGCTTACTACCATTGAAATCTGAAGGATTGGGTCCAAGTCTTTTGAGCAGGTCAAGCATTAGATCTTTTTGGGTCAAATAATTTGATAACCATCTAGTTTTCATATTCACTAAGATATAAGAGGCGACTAACGGGTCGGGTGGTCATCGTATACCAACTGCGTGGATCGATGCTTATGTCAATCACTGAATTGTCTGGTCCAGACTTGATTGACAGACCGCCGTCATATATCTGGAATATGGCTGGAATACTGCTGAGTGCGGCGTTAAACAACAAACACTAGTGGAGTGAAGGACTATTTTATATTGATTGGCAGTCCCCATGTCAAGTTGTGTATCTAGAATTGTCATGCTCATAAATACATTCCCTGTGTTCTGTAAATATTCCGCTTGTCTTAGGTCTCTCTGAGTTGCCTCCCTTGCCTTTGAATCAGATTCACCCTGGGTTTGTGACAAAAACCGTCACTTCAGGATTTCTTTCCTGCAACATGGAATTAAATAAATTGCTCTGTAATGTCAGTAGCGATTAATGTGGTGGACAAGGACTAATTGTCAGAATAGGCAGATGACAAACAAATATGAATGTTATAAGATTTTCTTTCCCCTCCCTGTTTACGCCCTCAATGAACCAAAGGTTATTTTCTTTTGCGGAGCATGAGGATGTAATGCTGAAAAAGTGCTATTGATACAATTATTATTATTATTATTATTATTATTATTATTATTATTATACTGCTTTGAACACAATGCTGCTCAGAAATGGAGGGGCCTTGATAATTACTGTCTGGGCTGTTAGTTTAACTTTATTTATTTTTTGTGTCAAATTAGTTTTTGTGACGAAGTGTATTACGACGAACTGTGGGAGTGACTGTTATTTAACTATTGGTGGTCTGGGACATTCTAACATTTACAATAAACACACGTGACAACACTATTTCACCAAGTTATCAAGGTGTGGTTGATCAAGGTAGGGACAAGTTTGTGTACATATCGGTTACCCTGCGTCATGTCATCCTCATTTGATCAATAAAATCATCCAAAGCTTGTCTTGCCTATGTTGTCAATGCTTGTCAAAACCTATCGGGTTTGTCCATCACCCATGACTACATGTCCACTTGAAGATTCCGGGGTCTTCAGCAACCCATGCTTGCCGTAAAAGGCGACTATGCTTGTCGTAAAAGACGACTAACAGGATCGGGTGGTCAGGCTCGCTGACTTGGTTGATGCATGTCATCGTTCCCAATTGAGTGGATCGATGCTCATGATGTCAATCATGGATTGTCTGGTCCAGACTCTATTAACAAAGAACCACATAGCTGGAATATTGCTGAGTGTGGCGTTAAACAACAAACAAATAAAATTGATGATGAAATATTTTGCGAGCAATTCCTGGGTCACACACAATTTGAACTTTTTAAATATAAACCCCCTTCTGTTCTCAAAGACCTGTGACCGCCTCCGTGGTCTTGTGGTAGAGCGTCCGCCCGGAGAGCGGAAGGTCCAGGGTTCGATCCCGGGCCGCGTCATACAAAAAGACGTTAAAAGATTGTACTTGGTGTTACCCTGTCTGGCGCTCGGCATTAAGGGGCTAAAACAAGGACTGGTCGGCTCGGAGTCAATATACTGTGTCTGAGTGGGGTATTCATGTCAAACTGCGGCATGGTATCTCAGTGAGCTAGCACTATAAATCGGCATCAGTCCGGACTAGTACAAGCAGCCATACACGTGCATGCACGTCGTTATATAAGTGCAATAATCTTGGACGCGACGTTAAACCCAATTTCACCTCACCTCACCTCAAAGACCTGTACAAACATTTGCAGAGGAGAGAATGGCGCCATTATCTGTAGCAGGACTGCTCCTGTTGCGATGCACCTTGCCAAGCAGGCCAGGCTCTGGGAAGGCAGTCCTATTGAGTTTGAGTAAAATCATTGAAACATGACTGTCAGCTAATTGTATGATGAATCTTGCAAGGATTACACCATTTACAGACAATATTGCAGTTTTCACACTCCGAAATTATATTTATTACAACTTGCTGGTTGCTTCTGTTAGCCAATGTAATGAACTTTTGTAAATGGCAATGATTCGATGCATCAGAATCTCAAACATTGGTGACCCTGCTACACTTTCTGAGCGACTTCAGGTGTTTGTAAATGTAACCACTCCCCAATATTCCAGCTTTTCCACAACCCTTGGCCAGACAAACCAATTTACAAAAGATCACAATGTTATCAGTAAACAACATCATGGAGCTCCTTGTCACGTCTTTACCAGTAAACGTGTTAAATGTTCACATAGTGGCTGCACGCCATGCTTGCCGTCTTTTCCAACCAGGGTGCGGCTGGTGGGTCTGGGATAGTTCCAACAAATTATCAAACTTTGCAAGAAACATTTATCAGCTTCTAAATATTCTATTCTTTCTGTCTTTTTTTATTTTTCAGCAGCCTGTTTTTTCCTACTTCTGTATTTCTCTTCATCTTTGTCGTCTTTTTCATCTTTACAATCGTCTCCCTTACTGTTATCATCGACAGTGCTTCTCTTTTTCACTTTATCATCTGGACCATTGTCATCTTTATCATCAGCAGCACTTCTCTTTACCCTGTAATCATTTCTGTCATCGCCTTTATCGTCTTCATCTTCATCACAATCTTTATCATCTGGACCATTGTCATCTTTATCATCTGGACCACTGTCATCTTTATCATCTGGGCAATTGTCATCTTTATCATCAGCGGCACTTCTCTTTACCCTGTCATCATTTCTGTCATCGCCTTTATTGTCTTCATCTTCATCACAATCTTTGTCATCTGGACCATTGTCATCTTTATCATCTGGACCATTGTCATCTTTATCATCAGCAGCACTTCTCTTTACCCTGTCATCATTTCTGTCATCGCCTTTATCGTCTTCATCTTCATCACAATCTTTATCATCTGGACCATTGTCATCTTTATCATCAGCGGCACTTCTCTTTACCCTGTCATCATTTCTGTCATCGCCTTTATCGTCTTCATCTTCATCACAATCTTTATCATCTGGACCATTGTCATCTTTATCATCTGGACCATTGTCATCTTTATCATCTGGACCATTGTCATCTTTATCATCAGCAGCACTTCTCTTTACCCTGTCATCATTTCTGTCATCGCCTTTATCGTCTTCATCTTCATCACAATCTTTATCATCTGGACCATTGTCATCTTTATCATCAGCGGCACTTCTCTTTACCCTGTCATCATTTCTGCCATCGCCTTTATCGTCTTCATCTTCATCACAATCTTTATCATCTGGGCCATTGTCATCTTTATCATCTGGACCATTGTCATCTTTATCATCAGCAGCACTTCTCTTTACCCTGTCATCATTTCTGTCATCGCCTTTATCGTCCTCATCTTCATCACAATCTTTATCATCTGGACCATTGTCATCTTTATCATCAGCGGCACTTCTCTTTACCCTGTCATCATTTCTGTCATCGCCTTTATCGTCTTCATCTTCATCACAATCTTTAATATCTGGACCATTGTCATCTTTATCATCTGGACCATTGTCATCTTTATCATCAGCAGCACTTCTCTTTACCCTGTCATCATTTCTGTCATCGCCTTTATCGTCTTCATCTTCATCACAATCTGTATCATCTGAACCATTGTCATCTTTATCATCTGGACCATTGTCATCTTTATCATCAGCAGCACTTCTCTTTACCCTATCATCATTTCTGTCATCGCCTTTATCGTCTTCATCTTCATCACAATCTGTATCATCTGGACCATTGTCATCTTTATCATCAGCGGCACTTCTCTTTACCCTGTCATCATTTCTGTCATCGCCTTTATCGTCTTCATCTTCATCACAATCTGTATCATCTGGACCATTGTCATCTTTATCATCAGCAGCACTTCTCTTTACCCTGTCATCATTTCTGTCATCGCCTTTATCGTCTTCATCTTCATCACAATCTTTATCATCTGGGCCATTGTCATTTTTATCATCTGGGCCATTGTCATCTTTATCATCTGGGCCATTGTCATCTTTGTCATCAGCAGCACTTCTCTTTACCCTGTTATTATTTCTGTCATCGCCTTTATCGTCTTTATCACAATCTTTATCATCTGGACCATTGTCATCTTTATCATCTGGACCATTGTCATCTTTATCATCAGCAGCACTTCTCTTTACCCTGTTATCATTTCTGTCATCGCCTTTATCGTCTTCATCTTCATCACAATCTTTATCATCTGGGCCATTGTCATTTTTATCATCTGGGCCATTGTCATCTTTATCATCTGGACCATTGTCATCTTTATCATCAGCAGCACTTCTCTTTACCCTGTCATCATTTCTGTCATCACCTTTATCGTCTTCATCACAATCTTTATCATCTGAACCATTATCATCTTCATCATCTGGGCCATTGTCATCTTTATCATTAGCAGCACTTCTCTTTACCCTGTCATCATTTCTGTCATCGCCTTTATCGTCTTCATCTTCATCACAATCTTTATCATCTGGACCATTGTCATCTTTATCATCAGCGGCACTTCTCTTTACCCTGTCATCATTTCTGTCATCGCCTTTATCGTCTTCATCTTCATCACAATCTTTATCATCTGGGCCATTGTCATCTTTATCATCAGCGGCAGTTCTCTTTACACTTCTCTTTACCCTGTCATCATTTCTGTCATCGCCTTTATCGTCTTCATCTTCATCACAATCTTTGTCATCTGGGCCATTGTCATCTTTATCATCTGGGCCATTGTCATCTTTATCATCAGCAGCACTTCTCTTTACCCTGTTACCATTTCTGTCATCGCCTTTATCGTCTTCATCTTCATCACAATCTTTATCATCTGGGCCATTGTCATCTTTATCATCTGGGCCATAGTCATCTTTATCATCTGGACCATTGTCATCTTTATCATCAGCAGCACTTCTCTTTACCCTGTCATCATTTCTGTCACCGCCTTTATCGTCTTCATCACAATCTTTATCATCTGGGCCATTGTCATCTTTATCATCTGGGCTATTGTCATCTTTATCATCTGGGCCATTGTCATCTTTATCATCTGGGCCATTGTCATCTTTATCATCTGGGCCATTGTCATCTTTATCATCTGGACCATTGTCATCTTTATCACCAGCAGCACTTCTCTTTACCCTGTCATGATTTCTGTCATCACCTTTATCGTCTTCCCCTCCGCATCCACCCACGGTTCTCTCCCCTTGCAGCAACCAGGACACGGGTGAGAACGATGCTAGTTTCCTCACAGAGCCCAGTCTAAACATTTCACCATCTATCCGGAGCACGCCATCTTTGCTCCAAACCATCTGGTAATCGCTTTCACCAGACTCGTCCCTGGTAGCTTCATACACACGCCGCTGTTGGTGTGTGACCACGACGGCACCCTTGCCTTCAGTGTAGTGACGTAGATGTGTTGGTGCGTACAGGTCGTTCACGTCTCTCGGGGACGACCCGCTGACTTGGGTAAGCCGGTTCATCAGCATCTCCACGAGACTGTCCTTGGCGGGAGGTTCATCAGCCCTAACGACATGGCGTGGCGGGATGACTCGACTGCAGACAGGAGAACTGCAGAGTACACCTGGAAACAACATGGCGGGTGTACACGAATAGAATCAAACAGGTCCACGGGGAAGTGTTTAGTTTTACTTGTAAACCGAAAGAAAAATCTGGAAAAGCGTTTCTCAACAATTTTATGTTTTAAACATACTTTTCACGAACCATAGTGACCCGTGAAGATCCGGGGTAGAATGCGTGCCGTTAAAAGCGACTATGCTTGTCGTAAGGTGACTGACCGCCTCCGTGGTCTAGTGGTACAGCGTCCGCCCGGAGAGCAGAAGGTATGGGGTTCGATCCCCGGCCGTGTCATACCAAAAAAGGCGATGGTACTTGTTGTTACCCTGTCTGGCGCTCGGCATTAAGGGGCTAAAACAAGGACTGGTCGGCTCGGAGTCAGTGCACTGGGTCTGAGTTGGGAATTCATGTTAAACTGCGGCATGGTATCTCAGTGTGCTAGCACTATAAATCGGCATCAGTCCGGACTAGTATAAGCAGCCACACACACACGTGCATGCACGTCGCTATATAAGTGTAATAATCTTGGACGCGACGTTAAACCACATTTCACCTCACCGTAAGGTGACTGACGGGATCGGGTGATCGTATCACAAATTGCGTAGATTGATGCTAACGATGATAATCACTGGATTGTCTGGTCCAATCTTGATTATTTACAGACTGCCGTCATATAGCTGGAATATTGCTGAGTGCGGCGTTAAAACGACCAACAAAACGAACCTTAGGAAACTGTAAGACATAGGCGGATCCAGATGGGTCAGATTTGGTCCAATATGAGTGAGTGGGTGAGTGAGTGAGTTGGGTTTAACGCCGCTTTTAACTATTTTCAGTTATATCGCTGCGTGTCAGCTTTATGTGGGAGGAAAGCCCGAAGTGATGCAGGTCTCAGACGTTTACCACTTCGGTGAAACCCATGAGCACGGGTATGGTGCTGACAAACCTAGAAACATAATCGGGGCGAACCGGGATTCGAACCCACAATCATAGATTTCTGGCGTGCCCAAGGGACGCAACTCTGCACAGCGAATCGCGGCGCCTTAGACGACTGGGCCACCCGTGCCCCCCTGGTCCAATATGGATTTTGATATTTTGGGACCCACTCCAACAAGACACCAAACAAACAAACAAATGCTAACCAAATTCCGAAAAATAGGACATTGAAAACACATTTTCAACAGAACCAAACCACAGAGACCGCATAGAAACTCTGAAAATCGCCTGATGAGTGAGTTGAGTTTAACACCGCTTTTAACAGTATTCCAGTTATACCATGGCGTGTCAGCTTAATGTGGGAGGAAAGCCCGAAGTGATGCATGTTTCAGACGTTTATCGCTTCGGGGAATCCCGCGAGCACGGGTATGGTGCTGATAAACCTAGAAACATAATCGGGGGAACCGGGATTCGAACCCACACTCATAGGTTTCTGGCGTGCCCAAGGGACGCAACTCTGCATCTGGGCCATTGTCATCTTTATCATCTTGGCCATTGTCATCTTTATCATCTGAGGCACTTCTCTTTACCCTGTCATCATTTCTGTCATCGCCTTTATCGTCTTCATCTTCATCACAATCTTTATTATCTGGGCCATTGTCATCTTTATCATCAGCCTGGACGTTAAAGACACTCAAAAAGCATTCGTGTCGTAAAATTTCAAAGACTGATGAAGACATGCAATAGAAAAATACTCACAAATAAGGAAGAAAGCGCAGCTAGAAGGATGTCCCTGTCTCACCCCTATCATAGTGATTTCAAAATGTTCAGAAATAATTGAAAGGCCACACGTTCTAGCTTATATACCCCTGAAATGAGAAATAAAAAACACAACTAAAACAACCGTTTACCATAACTGACATTCGTGCGCGTTTCTGTTGTATGTTTCTGAATAACTTGCAATTTTTAAGGCAGATGTTTCATCGCGACGTGCCCGGATTGAACAGGGGTTGATCCCGGGTTCCAGGTACATGGCGCCTAGTGACGGCTTCGGGAACTCATTATCATGTTTTAACTCGTGTTTGACGTATTCTAACTTTCCCGGACTGTTTTCACCGACCCTTTAACCCCTGAGAACACACGTGTAGCTTTGGGCATGTGATCAGCATGTGAAGATTGAAGTAAGTCATGTTAGGATTCGTCTTTAAAAGTGTCATGAATACGTAAATATATATACACATAGAAACAGGTTAAGCACACCCCTATTTCTGAACCATTACAAATGGCAAAAATCACGGCATGGGATGACTGACCACAGGAGCTGGGCGATACCAATGTCATCGGACAGAACAAACATATGACAACAAATAAAGAAGACATCGGTGAGTTGTGATTGAAATGTACTGACAAAAACATCATGGTAACACAGGTACTATTTTTGACCTTAGACAATACCTAAAAAAAGTATTGAGCTGCAGGATTAAGTAAACGAGTTAGTTTGATGTTTCATGTGACAGTAACAGTCGGTTTAATGTTCCTGGGGGTGTAGACCGTGTTCCGGTGCCTCCAAACTCTCGTTCTTCCATCAGTGACGTGGAGCAGAAAGCGACTAACGTCTGAGCAATGGGTCCGTCTCCAAGTTCTCAGATTCCAGTTCTGTCGCGCAATACACCATTATGTAAACGAGTAGCTTTGTTGTGATCTCTCAACAAGGGGCGCTTGATGATAAAAAACAAAGCAGATGACGATAAAACCGATCGCCCAAACGCATCACGGCAACGGCCATGGTAACTCGATGCACGTGAGTTCCCTGCAACTTGAAATACACATGCCTTGCCCCATTTCTTACCCTCTAAAAATCCCCCCAGATCAGATAACATTCATTTATTATTGAATTGCGACCACATGCCAAGATTGACAAGAAATAAGCGACACCAAGCCCTTGGACGATTGCAAGCAAGACAAACCGCCCGCCAAGTAGCCAATGCATTTCAAGTCCATGTAAGGACCATATACAGGCTCCAGCAACGGTACCAGACCACCAACACTACAAATGACCGACCACGTAGTGGAAGACCAAGGTCACCACCCGACGTCAGGATCGTCAGATTGTGCGACAGTATCTCTAAAATTGTTGTGTTACTGCTGCGGAAACTGCTCGACAGACCATGGGGGACACACCAGCGACACATTAGTGTGGACACCGTGCGTTGACGATTGACGAGCAGACACCTCCACTGTCACAGGCCTCACCGAGGACCCATTCTGACACCACATCATCGCCGGGACCGTCTTCAGTGGGCAACACAGCACTAGCATTGGCGCCACCAGCAGTGGAGAAGAGTCGTCTCCTCAGACGAGAGCCGTTACTGTATCCAAACAGCAGATGGCAGAGAGAGAGAGAGAGTCTGGCGACGCCGTGGGGAACGTTATTTGGGTGTTTGTGTTGTTGAGAGAGACTCGTGGGGTGGTCCGAGCATCATGGTGTGAGGTGGAATTGGTCTTGCACAGAGGGTCGGCCCTGTGGTCTTCAAGAACATCGGTCCAGGGAGAGGCAATGGTGTCACAGCAGTTCGTTACATTGATGAAGTCTTGAGACCACACACCATGCCTCATTTGGCACGTCGCCGCAACCACGAGTTTCAGCATGATAACGCCCGTGCCCACACTGCAAGAGCAACAAGAGACTTCCTCCAGCAAAATGGCATCAGAACCATGCAGTGGCCTGCCCCCAGTCCCGATTTAAATCCCATTGAGCACCTGTGGGACGAGACTGCTGAATGACGTCCGACCAAGGCCGACAACTGCAGCTAAACTGCGTCAGGCGTTCCTCAGAGTGTGGGCTCAAGTGCCGATGGCCTTCATCAACCGTCTTATCCATTCCATGTATCGACGTTGCACAGCAGTCATCAATGCACATGGCGGACACACGAGATATTGACTTGTGATGCCAATTTCTCAGAGACTAGTGTTGTGTTTCACTTTAAGAACATTTGACACTTTCATTTCAACCTTGATGATCAGTTTTGCCAAGTTTCATCTTTTTAATATGTTTTAAAGTATGTTTACAGTGTTTGGACAAATAAGGTTTCTCCCATATCTATCCATGTTGGCGTTTCTTTCGCTTTTCAGTATATCTTTCATCACTTACAACTGTTGGGACCAAACAATAAAATATATTAAGGTGTGCTCATCTTTTTTCCTTGGCGTATATTGTTTATATACGGCACATTGTACAAATCCACGTACCCTGCAGCTGCTTCCCGGTTCAATTGGTTCCTGACACATGTGCTTGTAATTATAGCTCACCCGTGAAGGACCCGTGAAGATCCGGAGTAGAATAGGTCTTCAGCAACCCATGCTTGCCGTAAAAAGCCACCATGCTTTTCGTAAGAGGCGACTAACGGGATCTGGTGGTCAGGCTCGCTGAGTTGGTTGATGCATCTTGATGTATCCCAATTGCGGGGGTCAATGCTCATGATGTCAATCACTGGATTGTCTGGTCTAGAGTCGATTATATACAGACAGCCGTTACGGCTGGAATATTGCCGAGTGCGGCGTTAAATAACGAACAAAGAAAATATATGACTGATCATAACCGACAATTATCTAGACGTATTTATAATATGTTTGTTCTTTTTTGGCAGTACGTGTGTAACTCGTGTTAATTATAGGGCGAGCATCAGTCGAGCAGTCTACGGATGACAAAAAATAGACAAATATAAAGCATAATGGCAATATACAGTCTTGGAATAGGTCGCCATTTTGGAATCACGTGATTTTAATATTTGTTTCATTTCTTTCGTATGTTACATATCTATAAACAAACTTAAATCTAAAAAAAACACCTGAAGCATTTGGCTACCAAGCCCGCGTCTCAGTGTGAGTAAATGAATGAGTTGGGTTTAACGCCGCTTTTGACAGTATTCCAGCTATATCACTGCGTGTCAGCTTAATGTAGGAGGAAAGCCAGAAGTGATGCACGTCTTAGACTCGCGCTGACCACCCGATCCCGTTAGTCGCCTCTTACGAGAAGCATAGTTGCCTTTTAGGGCAAGCATGGGTTGCTGAAGACCTATTCTACCCCGGATCTTCTACCTTATTTCAGACATCAAGAGCTATACTTACCCTATTCCCACAGCAATACAATGGCAAGGTGGCGTTCAAGATCAAGACTTACTCTTCTGTAGAAACAAACGTGCACGTGTGTGCGTGCGTGCTTGCGCGCGCAGACTAAAGCCAGTGTTTTTGTGCTACACCACTGAGATACCATGCCGCAGTTTAACATGAATACCCCACTCAGACACAGTATACTGACTCCGAGCCGACTAGTCCGTGTTTTAGCCCCTTAATGCCGAGCGTCAGGCAGGGTACTAACAAGTACCATCTTTTAATGTCTTTAGGTATAACGCGGCCGGGAAGACACTATCCGAACACAAAGGGAATGACTCCACCCCACCCCCAAAGTTATCAATGCATGCATTGCCACTCAATCTTTTGCATTATATAATTTTTCAAGGAAGTCTTACAGGGAGTTTTTCAGTTGAAATATTCAGCTTGCAAATGTCAACTTCTGGAATTATTTGAAGGAATATAACTGCTGTTTTTGAGCGAGTATGGTTTAACGCCGATTTTAGCAACATTCCAGCAATATCACGTCCGGGATAGACTTAAGCAAGAAGAGTTACAAGAACGTCGTCACAACGTTTGTTTTCTCTCGCAACTGTACCTAAATTATTATCCCGATAAAACACTCGCCCTCTTTCGGGGTGAGGTGAAATGGTGTTTAAAGTCGCCCTCAAGATGATTGCACTTACGAAGAATGTGTTATAGGCCTAGCCCACCGAGACGAGTGTTTTGGCATTACGATGCCAGTTGATCGAACCACCGACCTTTCGCTCTCCGAGCAGACTTTCTATCCTCACCTTGAATTAAAAACAAAATTTAATGCGCATCCACTCATTGCAAAGCAAACTAAAAACTTGGAATGTTTAAATACACTACTCAACGATTGTTTGGAATAATCAGAAATGTCAGTCTATTTAAATATACACTTGACATATTAATAGAAACAGTTTGGCGTATCTTGGAAAGATAAAAATGTCCCTACCAAATGTGGAGTAGTACATGAGAGAGAGAGAGAAAGAGAGAGAGAGAGAGAGAGAGAGCGAGAGCATGTTTGCGCTGTTCCTTATACCGCTGTGCCCCCTTCCGTTCAAGATATTAACTTGTACACAAACAACATAATAGTTTCTTAAACAACTTGTTTCCAGTGATGGAATAAAAATAACAAACAGCAGATATTGTTGGGTACAGGGTATTCACTGCCGTGTACCGTAGTGACATTAAAGAGACTATCACCGATTTTGAGTTATTTTGCAATTCACCGTTCTCATTTTGTGCCAAACGGACAGCAGATAACGGCCACATGGGTATATTTAACCATTCCTTGCACTTGGAGTTGGCCGAGCTTCAAAAACAACGCAGACATTCCAGACTCTCAAAACATTGACGTTACACAAACCACCACATGATAATTCATTTATGCGGAACTTTAAACTGATCACACGCACGTTTGGCTGGCTGCAGTGTGATACCTTTTCTTCTTTAACATGTAAAAAAGTACGTGTTGTCTTTGTGCAGAAAAACAGGCCCAGGTTTAACGACATCGTTAAATACTTGCAACTTCTTATACTCATCTCGATTTTATTATGCGCGACTTTTATTATACCAGCAACAGATGAATATACTCAATAAGAACGTGTGATGCGTTTTCATGCATTCTCGATGTTTGTTTGTTGATTAACGCCGCACTCAG